ACAAATTTTTTAATAAGTTTAGGTGAAACTGATAAAGGAAATGAATTGTTAAACAATAAGACAGAGTTTCAAAAACTTATTGGTAAGCTCATTTATCTTACAATTACTAGGCCTGATATTTCTTATGCAATTCAGGTACTTAGTCAATATATGCACAAACCTAGGAAGTCTCATTTGAATGTTGCTTTCAGATTGTTAAGGTATTTGAAAAGAAGTCCTGGAAAAGGAATTGCATTGACTAAGTCAAGTGTGTTTGAATTGAAAGGGTTTGTAGATGCAGACTGGGCTAAGTGTTTAGCTACAAGGAAGTCTGTATCAGGTTATATGGTTTATTTTAACAATTGTTTGATTTCTTGGAAGAGTAAGAAACAGTCTATTGTTTCTGGATCTTCTACTGAATCAGAGTATAGAGCTCTTGGCTCTATTACTTGTGAAATAATTTGGATTTTGAAAATCTTGTTTGAACTGGAGGTTAAAAGTCTTATTCCAGTTTCTGTTTTTTGTGATAATGACTCAACAATTAAGTTAGCTCTTAATCCTGTATTTCATGAAAGAACGAAACATCTTGAAATTGATCTGCATTTTGTTAGAGAAAATTTTTCTAATGGTGTGCTAAAATTAGTTAAAATAGATTCTTCTGATCAGAATGCTGATATTCTTACTAAATCAGTAAATCTTTAAATGTAAAACAACATGATTTTTTAACAAGTAAAATGGGTCTTATTGATGTTTTTAAATAAAAATAAATATTTCGATTGAGGGGGATGTTGAAAATAAATGTAGTTTGCAATCTCATATTTATTGGCTTAAAATGAAATATAAAATTGGTAAAGGGTATTTTATGTTCAAGATACATTCTTTTGGTTGTGAAAGTAATTTGCAGGGTTAAAGACACGCAGGTTGTGAGATTGGGTCAGATTCTGTTCGGGTTAGGTTTGTATCCGGTTTCTGAAGTATAAAGAAAGAGAGAGAGAGAAAGAGAGTGTAGAATGGATTCATTAAGTCGTTTCTCAGATCAAAAGATTAGGGTTTTCTCTCATAGTGTTCTTCATTTTCTCTCTTGGTGTTCATCTGTTTAGTTTAGGGTTTGTATACATTATCTATTTACATAACTTGTTGTTCTTTTCTATTATAAATTAGGTTGAGTGAATAAGATTAGGATCTTTGTAGTGAGTTTTGAGTTTTAAGTATCTTGAAAACCATCTGTTTCTTAATCTTCAAACGGTATAAGAAATGATGATGTTGGGAAAGTTTGTTTTGTGTATTTTCAACAATATCAGACTTGTCATGAATACTTTGAGGCGCGTACACATTAACCATATAAACTTGAAAATCAAAGTTAAGCCACGCCCCTTGAACAATCACTAAATTATATGAACAAATAATACGAGTTTTAAAAAAACATTAGGATCCCAAATGGACAATATACCACGTGAGTGGCCCCTAGCTTGACTGGAAGCAAAGTCAAACCTATTATTACCCCAAACAACACGAATCTTGAACAAATCTACCTTAGTAAGAAAAGTTTCTTGCAAACCCAAGAAACTAATAGAATGGTTCAAGCAAATTCTATTTATTGATCTCCTTTTATAAATCGTTCCCATACAACAAATATTAAAAGACATAATATTCATGGATCCACATTCTTCACACCTATACTTACCAAACGTTTTTGCAATTCATCTTTTGTACCAATCATACCGTGACCCAAAGCCTTTGCAATAAATAAATACTTTTGAACCCCATCAATTAAAGATGAACCATCTCTTTTTGATAATGAGAAATTAGAAAACTGGGAATTGTTTTTACTTCTGAAACTTGAAGACTGTGAAAAGGAAGCAACTTCTGTTTTGTTATTATTCTTTTTAAACCGAGAGTTTGGAGATCTTGACTCATCTGGGATAAAATGATGACCACCAAAACCAGGTGGTTTAGAAAAAGAATCAGACGCCTCCTGATCAAAATTCCCATAAGCCTTAATAATATTCTTCTGTTCAATAACTTGCTTTTCAGAATTCACCTTTTCTTTTTCCTTTACTTCTTGTCTTAATTTATCTTCCAACTGAATTTCTTTTTTAAATTCCTGGATAGAATACTCTGCATTAGCCAAAAATAACTCGACATCTTCTGAGTTATCGTTGTCATTTATCTCATGGTCATTCTCACTACCACCATCAAATGAACCGTTATGAGAACAACCATTGCTTTTTCCTTAATCTCTAAAAAAAGAATTAGTACGAATACAAACTCTACCAACACCAATGCTCTTATTCAGAGTCTTCATCAATGAAAAGAAAAAAACCCTATGAACTCGAAATTTTCTTGAATGACTTTGAAGACCATGAAACAAGTGGTAACCCCTCGATCTCTATCCAAACCTAACGATCATGCACAACAAAAGCATCTTCCATCGGTTTAAAAACTCTAAAAATCTTCTTAAACACAGAATGTTCTTGGAAATTTTTACAACTAAGTCGAGTTGGAAATTTAAGCCATACCCAATGACCAGAAACATAGTGAATTTCTACCCCTTGAAAGCCTTCCTCCTTGCAAATGATACTTAAATTAGCAATTGAAAGAACATTCCCAACATCACCCAAAACAACACAATAAGGGTCAAGAATCTTGAAAAGATCATCATTCTCAATTGTAATTGTTTCTTCACACTACCACCAACATTAGAATTATTTAAATTAAGCTTTCCTTCAACAACCCAAGCATATGTAGCCTGACCAGATGAACTATACATGTTACTCTGTTTCTTTTCCAACACATGATTATGAAGTTTTTGTTCATGGACAACTTGTCTGGTTACATTATTTTTCTAAATCTCGTTACTGAAGCAAATATGTGGTAGTTCCCAACCCAAATATCACATAAACACTTTGCCAAACCAATGACATCTTTGACCTTCAAGAATCACACAAATCCAAACCTTTTACCTAACTTTGAAAGCTTTCTTACAATATAAACATCCACCACAACCCCATAATCAACACAAAGTTTTTGCATGCCCTGTACCTCCATAGATGGAGGGAAGTTTGTAATGAAATATGAAACAGATATGTGATCAACCTTACTCTGTTGACGAGAATTCAGATTATCCTCCATTGATTGCTTGCCCTGATCCTGATTCCAATTCAATTTCTTCCCAAATCTCCATTCCCATTTACCGTTCCTTGTCATCAAATGATTTCACCAGAAAAGGAAAAAGAAGAGAAAACCGATCACAACTAGCACCCTACCGGGGTTTGCACCCGCCGAAGAAGAAGGGTGACCGCGTTAAAGAGGGGCGATGCAACGTGAATTCTTAGATCACCGTAAGAGTTTTATTTTGAATTTTTAGTATAATATATTAAGAAGTGAATGCTTATATTTTATTTAGTTAAGCTAATTTAACATTATCTTTATTTCTTATCATTACTCTTTAGTATAAATAGAGTATAGAACTGGGAGAACGATCATCACTACATTACTCATAGGAGATCGTTCTCCCAGAGCAAGAAGGAGGTATTGTGATCAAGAACGTGACCAGAGTCGGACACGTTTAATGGAAGACTACTTTGTTGAAAACCCAACGTATGATCAAGCAACCTTTTGTTGTAGATTTCATATGCAAAGACAACAATTTCTCCATATAGTGACAACTGTTACAACCAATGACCTATATTTTCAACAAAGACGTGATGCCACATGTAGACAAGGTCTTTCACCATTGCAGAAGTGTATGATAACTATGAGGGTCTTGGTGTATGGGGACATCAGCAGATGCACAAAATGAATATTTGAGAATGAATGAAACTGTAACAAGGGATGTTGTAATAAAGTTCGTAGAATGTGTCATTTCATGTTTCGGTGAAGAGTATCTTAGATGTCCCAATGAAGTTGATTTGGTAAGATTACTTTGTGTGGGGGAGGAATGTGGATTTTCAGGTATAATAGGAAGCATTGATTGTATGCATTGCAGTATTGCACATGGAAAAATTGTCCCACCGCTTGAGCTGGACAATATGCAGGTAGAAGCGGTAAACCAACAATCATTTGGGAAGCTTTTGTGTCATATGACTTATGGATTTGGAACAACAGGTATGCGCAATGACTTTAACGTCCTCCACAGGTCTCCTATTTTTGATGATGTCTTAGCAGGCCGAGCACCAAATATGAGTTACGTCATGAATGGTCGGGAAAATAATATGACATATTATCTCACTGATGACATATATCATTCATGGGTTGCTTTTGTCAAGTCAATAACTTCCCCCCAACTTCGAAAACACAAGTTGTCCGCTGAACATCAAGAAGCCTCTAGAAAAGATGTTGAACGAGCATTTGGAGTTCTACAAGCTCGTTTTTCATTTCTTTAACACCCTTGTCTTTAGTGGGACAATCATATGATGAGGAAAATTATGATTGCATGTATTATCATTCATAATATGATTGTGGAAGATGAACGTTGTACATACATTTACTATTATGATCCATCCGAATTTCTAAATTACGGGCCTACAAACCGGAAACATGGAACCTATATTTAAGACAACGGCGAAATTTAGAATATTTCACTTAACGAATTGCATACCTATCCAGTTATATGACCAATAGGGCACAACTTCACAATAAAAAAAACTTATAACACTCTAAAAACAATTTGATTGAACATATATTATAGAATATTGGTATTGATGAATAATTATGTGGTTTGTATTTTCCATATATGTAATCTTGTATTTCATGTTTTGATTGTAACTTTGTTTATCTATTTTATTAAGTTTGTTTTATAAATATAATTTTTTTAGTTTTATATTTAAAATAAATAATTTATTAATCCAACTAAATAAATTATTTTATTTTTTCTTAATATATTAGTAGAATAAAAAATAATTTAAAAGTTTATTATTTATATAATAAAAAAATGGTTTGAGTTAGGTTTTCACGAGCATCTTCTGCACTCCCACATTTTCCAGTTTTGAAGTTATGGCCCCACCATTGAAGTCTGATGATAATACCCCAGGCGACCCTAATCCATTCATTTCACATATGGTTTCTCCTCAACCATTCCCTTCCCAGCAAAACATAAAATATTCCCCAATTTTAGAAAACGCTTGATGCTAAAATCAGACAAACACATTGGATTAACATGGGCTCTAGAGTTCTTCTAACAACTACTCATTTACCTTTCAATCCTATAGCAGATAAATCTCAAAAGTTTCCTCAATCCTACACTCCCTGTTCATCTCCACGATTTCAGATTCTATGTTCGTTATCAGGTTCAGATCTAACCCTAGATCTTTTTCTTTTAACTGAATTGCGTGATTATGCTGTACATGATAATGCGTTTTGAATGATTGGCTGATCTGTGTGGATTAATCGTCATCAACTTGAATTGGATTTGTTGGAATCGCAAACAACCCGTTTGAATGTTATTTTGAGTAACAGAAGATTTTGAATGATGAAGTATTTAAGGTATATATATGCAACCATTGCAGGGACAATTGGCAATGATGCTTCAGTGACTGGTGGTGCGTACGATTATAGTAAAGCAACAACTTCTCTTACACAGAAATTATTGTCATCCCCGAAACAAGTGACTCTTGTAAGGCATGGCTTAAGCTCTTGGAACGATGAAAGTAGAGTTCAGGTTTGCCATTCTTTATTTTACCTTTAATCTTTCTGAAACCATGTACACATATTAAGACATGGCGTAAGCTCTTAAAATGATGATATTAGAGCTCACTCTTTGATGAGTAAAACATGCACGCTATAAATAGTGTTTAAAGAAGAGAACACAAGGTAATAACATGTAGAACTTTGTTTTTCATCCAGTGTTGTGTAGATAAATTATGCTTAAAGACAATTTGAGAAATTTTACCCATGTGTCTATAAATAGTGTTTAAAGAAGAGAACACAAGGTAATAACATGTAGAACTTTGTTTTTCATCCAGTGTTGTGTAGATAAATTATGCTTAAAGACAATTTGAGAAATTTTACCCATGTGTCTATAAGTGAAGCTGAATAAAGAACGACTGTTTGTTTGAGAAGTGTTATAGTTAATGAAGAATCAAAAGTCTTCATGTGACCCAAATCAATCTTGCCATATTTTTATAATGATGTGAATGGGCTCATAAGTAACTTTATACTCAAAAGTTACCCAAAAAGGGAAATGTTACAATTGTCATGAGCATCCCAGATAGAAAATTATCCCAATTTTCCATTCGGACATTTCTTCATTAAGCCATATTCATTTTACCAGATACATAAAACATCAATTGTACTTCTGAATTGTTATGATTATAACTTTTGATATTTTCTGCTGATTTATGACATTCAGGGAAGCTCAAACTTATCAATCTTAACAGAAACTGGAATCATACAAGCAGAAAGATGCAAGAAAGCTTTGGCAGATATACATTTTGACCAGTGTTTCTCCAGTCCAATTTCTCGTGCCAAGGTCCATATGAAACTATTGCTTTTGGTAAATTAAAGAGCTAAATGCAAGAAATAGCAATGTACTTTGTAAATTTATTGAGTTAGAATGCTCTAATAAAAAAATAATATAGAAGTACATTGCTATTTTTTGCATTTAGATGTAATCTAATTCTTAAATTTTGTGATCTTGATGCAGTCGACTGCAGAAATCTTGTGGGAGGGGAGGGAAGAGCCGTTGATCTTTCTTGATACATTGAAGGAGGCACATTTATTCTATCTTGAAGGCATGAAAAATGGTCAGCATATAGGACTTAATGGGGAAAGACTCATTTCTATGAATTTATCTATTAATTCATTCTTTTTGCATTAAGTCAAAAATCAAAATGAAACGCTGATATATCATATATATATATATATATATATATATATATATATATATATATATATATATATATATATATATATAGCTTACCAGATTAAGTCATGTCTATAGTCTCTATGTATTATTATACTAAATGAGTTTCAGCATTTGGAGTCAGAGGATGCTAAGCGAATATATCCAAAGGAGTACACAATGTGGAGACAAGACCCCTCCAATTTCAATGTAAACGGTGTTTATCCTGTTCGCCAACTATGGGACACTGCAAAAATTGCATGGAAGGAAATATTGTTCACACCCGTAAGAAAGAACTCTTGTTTACACCCGAAAGGGTATTTTAGTCATTTCCATTATGGCTAACAAACTTTGTTTTTTAGGGAGAAAGTTTTCTTGTCGTGACGCATAAATCAATATTACGGGCGCTAATATGCACGGCTCTTGGACTAAGCCCCGAGAGGTATGTATTTATTTCAGGATGAGGAGGGCATTTACGTCCTTTGTACAAACCATAGATTTAGAGCTTTTTTGGGCGGGACGAAAAAAATGTAGTTTTTGTCCCTGATGACATCACTCTCAGTCCAATACATGTAAAACACTATACAGTACAATGAAACCGAATTTTCAATTTATTAGGTTTCGGGCGGTTGATGTGAATAATGGTGGGATAACGGTGTTTAAGTTGAATGTGGAAGGCGAACCCATGCTTCAATCTTTGAACATGACGGCTCATATGTACACTGATTACAATTATGTTTATTGAACATGAAGATCTCTATATCACTTGTGCATTTTTTAAATTTCTTTTCATCCCTTTTAACCTCTTAAGTTGTTTTTGTTATGTATTATTATTTAAGATGGTAGTAATTTTTGTTTTCTATTTGATATGTTGTTAAAAGTAAAATATGTTATTGTTAGTTATTGAAACAAATAAATATATAAAAGAAAGTATTAAATATTCACCTGATATGTTACTGAAAAATATAAACAATAGTACATTATCCAAAAAGATGAGATTGGAAGTTGGAACTTGAGACCAATGCCTTGATGATTTTGCCTTGAGTACGATTGCGTGCCTTAAATGCTAAGGTACGAGATAACTGTAGCTATTTCTTTTATCATCTAAAACAATAAATATTTTAATCGATACAGATTTTTTTGACACCCCTAGATCTAATTCTTCTTCTCACATTTTCCACTACTTAAGTTAAGGCGTCTTCCTTTCGCCATAAGCACATCAATATACACATCTTCTTAGTAGCTTTCTTGATCATCTCGTATCCTCCCTCTTCCCGGCTTTGTGTTGAAAAATGATGATTCATTCTGTAAAAATCAACACAACACTAACACTACTGAAATACGAAGATGGAAATTTCTCATCACCTTTCTTTTTGACACAGGAATTAAGCACCTGTGGATGTTAAAAGATGTGAGAAAATTATGCATATTTACATGTCTTGAATTATGAACTTTATGTTCAGTTATTTATAGAAGATGTGTTTATAAGCCACTGTGGATGAAACACTGGTAAATAGAAATAACTTTTTTGAAAGTCTATGTACGTATTGGATCGTTTCTATGTACGTATATACCATCGCTAAAAGAAAGGTGACGAGAAATCTTCATCTTAAAGTTTCATCATTATCATGCATGTTTATGCACAAAGTCCATGGAAAAGAGGGAGGCTACAAGGTGATCAAGAAAGCTATTGAGAAATATGTCAAAGACAAACGGGCATCGTCTCCCTGTTAGAATCGAAGTTACACTTTGCCCCCTCAAAAACTTTAGAATATGAAAAATGAGACTTCTCTCCTCTTTATAGTTTTTAGTTTTTACCCACCACTCCAGTCCAGCTATGTGGGATTTGGGAAGCATGAATGTGGTAAATCTCCTTTTCCTCTTTCCTTTTATACAACAAATATACATCAATTTTCCGATCACTGGAGTGCTGATGTGGGTTTCTCGGTTTCTCCTCTAGAATTCTTCTTGTTCTTTTGAACCCACATCATCTCTCAAAACATCCAAGTCTTCTTTGATTTTTTACTGATTTTGTAAATTTAAAGGTTAAACTTAAATACTATAATCTCTCTCTCTCTCTCTCTCTCTGTCTCTCTCTCCTTGTAAGAAAATCGGGATAAAATAGCCTTGGAAATTCTGAGAATTGTGGTTTCACTTTCAGATTAAAGTATTTGGGTGGTACTGCCAATCTTTAATCGGATAAGACTCAGAGAGACAAGAACAAAAAATGTTTGATGTTATTTTCGTATATATCAGAATTAAGACCAAAAACCAACTTTAAGATCTTTGTCTGAAAACTGTCATATGACAGTTTTAAACTGTCATAAAACTATAAAAAACTGTCATAAAAAACGAATATATGGATAAGGGTCAAACCAATGGTCAGTTATCTGAAAAATCAATTTTCTGATGCATTTTTAATATAGCAACATACCCTATATCACTCTTTCGTTCAAATCTAGTCCTGGAAATTGTCGTAGGATAAATTTATTTGCCACCACCAAATCTAGTACTGGAATGGCCGCGAAAGGATACGGGGGAGTCTTGGGATACAGGGGCACCGACGGAGAGATACTGCTTCAGTACCAATTAAAAAGGTCCTAAATTGGGATGGATGTCGCACCATTGTGCCCTTAAACATCTATATTTCCATTTTTTAAATTGACAAATTATAATGATATGCAAATTTATCTTCGTCCACAAGATTATTTGATCAGAGCGCAGTTGAATGCGGTATCAGCATACAAGCGCAGAGGCGTAGTCATACGGGTGCATCAGTGAGCCTTGGCCTATCTCACACAAATTTAAAGTGAAATATATATTATATATAAAATTTATATTTCTTTTGAATAAAAAATGATAAGACTGTGAATTGTAACATGACCCACCCTATTTAAAACTTAATTTCATAATGAAAGAAATAATTTATTTTTTGAGGCACGTCGATTAAAGAATTGAGGCAACATTTTTTTGAATAGATCAAATTGCATTTTAATCTTCACAGTGAATTCCTTGAAACTGCAAACTAACTAACCAACTCTCACATATCACCTATGTCTCCTAAGAGACAACCCATGACCTCTCATTTGAGAGAATCACTCCCTACCGCTAGGCCAAAAACACAAAACAATTTACTATAAAATCATACATTGTTACATTTTGTTACCACTTGCAGTATTTTTTTATTTGTTCATATTTTGTAAATTATTTGATTTATCCTAAAACAAAATCTTAGCCATGTCACTGCACAAGCGTGAAATAACACAGGGATGAGTTGGGAATGAAATACTTTTATGTACTTTTGATGATATATTTTAATTATTATTTAGTCTTGTAATTTTTATTCATCATTATTAGTTTTATATTTTTTATCAACTTTTTTATTTATCACTATTTTTATATATTTTCATTTTTAGTAAAAAAAAAAGGTGTGTCGTGTGAGACCATTCCAGTTTTTTTGGGATGAACCGAGAAAGAAAATTTGATACAAGGAATGATCATGTGGATATTTGGATGAAGGATCGCTAGATGATAATTCATACTTCCCTCCACCATAAAATTTATTTTTTGTTTATTTTTATTCTGAAATCTTGTTTTTACATAGTGTTTTAATATTTTATAGAAATCTATTTTCACAAATTATCATTCACATATTTTTTTTTTCCAAATGGTTTAAAATTCTTTCTGCAAATTCATTTATCTTAAAACATACAAGGCTTACACAAATTCATTATTTTAACAACCTTTGCAAAGAACATAATATATATAAAAAGCCAAAGGACAAAAGTAATAAAAACATGCAAATAAGTAAGTTTTGATGGAGAGTATCCCTACTAGGGAGAGATTATCGTATCGTGGGGTTGAGGTGCAGTCGATCTTATGTCCGATGTGTCATATGTCTGTTGAGACTATTGATTATATTTTTGCAGGATGTAGGTAGTTGATTGATATTTGGAGCATGATTGCTATTTGGTGGGATGTTCATATACCTGAGCATCTTACGGTTTCAGATCTCTTCTCGTGGTCTGATTCACTTCACTTGAGGGAGATGGTCAACGTAAGGCTTTTGATGCGGTGGTGATATCGGCCTTTTGTTGTCTTTGGAACTTTCGAAATTCCACCATCTTTGGAACGGTGTTACCTATGAAATCTCTTATTTTCGATGATATTGTTGAAATGACGTTTTTTTGGATTTCCAATAGGTGTAGCAAAGCTAAGCTTGTTTGGACTGCTTGACTTCATAATCCTGCTTTAGCTTCTATTCTATTGTAATATGTTTTTTGTAGCTTCTTGCTAGTTTTTTAATATAATCTTCGGCCGTTCCAAATTTTTTTTTAAAGGAACTTATAAGTATTGGTTTAGATTCAATTGTCATCATTTATAGCTTACACGAAACATAATATGCAATTATTTATAATCATAACATCATTAATAATTTATAAGCTTGATATAAGCATTGGCACAAAGAACACTGTTAGCATAAGAAATCAAATAGTAATCGAAGTAAACAAATGAAATAAAAATATATTATTATTTTGAGGTCTCATCCTATTTTTTTAATTAACTAAAACACAATTCATATCTTACACTCGTATATTGTTCAATGATTTAATAAACTACGCCAATAAACACATCCACAAGTCTGTTATTATTGATGAATATATTACAAGGTAAATGCATATTACAAATCCAAATAAACCACACCAATAACCCAATATTCTACATGGCACACATTGGTAGTTCCCATTCTCAGACAAAGAGCCATCAAATCTAGATAAATAATGCTTCAATGGCACGTAAATTGTGCATTAAAACTTGTACATTACTCCAAACTCGAGATCTTCAACTTCCAAAAAGGAACTCCTTGTAGTCGTGTACATAACCTTTATACAATAATTGCTGATAAACCCCAGTATTCTACATAGTATACAACAGTTACAACTTCATTTTCAGCAAACAAGTTGTCAAATCCGAATTAACAACGCATCAACAGTTTGCACCTAATGCATTGAAAGTTGTACATTCTTTCGGATCCAGCACTTTGTTGAGCTAAAAAAGGACCATGTTATTTGATGATGACTTACAATTCCATTTTACTACATTCACCACAATCAAACCCTTTTGAGGCAAATGCTTCCACGAGCTTAGGGACAAGTTTTGAGAGCATGATCTTGAATCCCATAGAATTACCATTTTGCCCTTCGGTCTCAACATTTTCGCCTCCTACTGGAACCCCTTCAAGATAGGCCTTACAACCCATCAAGATCTGCCCACATCGTTTGCTGAAATGCTCCTCCACAAGTGCCTCAAAATGCTACATTATTTAAACAAAAAGATGAGATATCTCTCATCTATGCAAAAAGACGTTAATACCCTCATCATCCTCATCACCAAAAATAGCCCAAAAAGCTTGTCCCAAACACATAATTGTCTAGGGCTATTTCCTATGATAAAGATGAGAAGCTCATTTATGTTTTTTACACATTACATCTATAGATCGATACAAGGCAAATATAAAAAAATAAAAAAAAAAAAAAATTGTACCTTAGGTGGGTTGCGAAGTATGTACAACATGGATTTGTAGCTCATGAGAATGGCATTCTCATTATAGCTACACGAATTCTTTTCACCCTCAGCACTTCCCACCTGTTGATCATATCCCGCTTCATTGAAATACGGCTTTTTGTTAAGCACTAAAGCTTGAAGAGAGAGTAAAACTTGAAGAATTGTGGACTCGTTAGGGTTCCATGTCTCACTTCCGGTTCCTGTCCATGTATTCAGAAGGCTAAGACACACCCTCCCCGATTCATATAAATTAGGGTTCACCCGAAGTCCACCAGAGTTATAATGCACCATCTGTAGGATACCAAACAACCACATCAGACAAAAAAGTTCAACCCTAATATTAATACTAATTATAGTAAAAAAATAAAAGATTACCGGGGGCTCGTGAGGGTATTCAGGGGGGAGGAAAATGTCAAAGAAGAAAAGACCATTTTCGTAAGGAGTTCCAGATGCTCCCACAATTGCAGCTTGAATTAGATCCATTCTTTCTTCAAAGACACGAACATATATTGTTTCTGTGAAAATGAACATGAAGATTCAAAATTGATGAGTCGGGATCTTTAAAATTTGTCATTGATTTCAAGAAAATGAAGAAGAATATAAAAACGTTTCTTACCCGGAAGATCGTTTGTCAAAATGTTCCATTCTTGATTAACTTTCTTTAGCCAACTTTTTTTCACCTACAAGAACCCAAAACATTTAGATATTTTGAGACCTTGATTTTCTTTTGTTTATTTTTGAAATTGAGGTCTAACCTGAGTTGATATGGAGCTCTTTTCAGGACTATCAACAAAGTGGTGGTTTGAGCAGTCATTAACCATGTCAAATTGCCTAATTTCTTTCATATTCTCACTATTCGATAAAACCGGAACAACCTTTGAATCCTCGGATTCTTCAAACTTTGTCTCCACAAATGTCTGATCATCTTCCTTGTTAAAATCAGATACATGGTCTGAACTAACATACAATGTTGTGTAGTTCTGAGAACCGAAAAACCGTGTAGCCACATTTGATAAGAACCCGATTGCAGCTCGTGGGACACTAAAAGTAGTGGAATCATACAACATCTTTAAGCAATCTTTCTCATCATCATCATCATCATCATCAACATCAACATCATCATCATCTGAATCCAATAAATCCTGACCATATAAAGTAAAAGTTTAGTACAATATTATAGACGTTAATGTGACAAAATTGCAATCTTATGTTCTATCTTTTTTGGTTAATTTACCTTTTCGGTGGGGTCAGTTGAACGGGTATCATGGTCGGATTTCTCTTCCATATTTCCATTGTTAAGTAGTGGTGTAGCTGATACGCCTTCAGACTTTTCCACTCGAAAGATCTCATGAGGCCCAACCTGTATAAGCATTGATTAATTATACGTACACAAGAAATAGCAATGTCATCTAAATGCAAAGCTATAATTGGGTACATTTAGCCGATATTAAGAAGGAAACTCGTACCTTAGATGTGAAACCCGTAGCCCATTTGACTTCAACAATGCCATTTTTCAAGCCAATCACAATCCCGATATGATCTAAGTAGGAATTGTAAGAATCTTTCTCAAAATTCTGTCCTTTATGCATCCTAAATACAAGATCACCCTGACTAAATGAATAGTCAGGGTGATCAATCAGTTCATACGCACTCACAATTTCCTCCACGTTTTTCTCTTCATTTTCCAATTCCCATTTTACCCTCACTGTCTTTTCCTTCGCGTCCACCACCTTCACGACCCCCCACTTCCTATTTTCTTGATCATCTGAAGTTCCTTTCTCAAGAACAAACTGATGAGGCCAAAAATCATGAGCATCGAGTGTGTTAACAGGATTCAAACAACTCGAATCCAACCCAAACGATTCACTCCCATCTTGCCATAACACATCAATTCTACATTTTGTTTTCGCAATCACAAAGATTTCTTGAAAACCCGAGTGGGAAATTTTTGGTAGAACACACCAATCACCGAGTTGCCAATTCAAGAAACACGAAATTGGGGTCAAGTCTTTTTTGCTCTGAAGAGATGGTGGCACCGGTGCACCACCTTCTGAACCAAATAACGCGCACCCGAGCCATGTCACGTGGACCGAACCCGTGTCCACATTACACACGGTCCCTTCATTGTGGGTTTCGGTTCGTGACCCGCAAAACCACTGGGTCGAGTTTGACCGGGTCGAGTTCACGAGTTTGACTCGTTGACCCGGGTAATACGGGTATTGTGAATCATCGACTAAATCGGGAGAGATCGGTATGAGATTTTCCATGTCCGTTATTGTAAATTCACATTTTGACCCGTCATCGAACAGGACGGTTACCGAATCGGTTATCTGGTCAGCTTTACCGACCCACGGACCGGAAATTACGAAATCGCTCATTGAGATTGAACGGATTCTTTGAAGCTCTTTGGAGTTGATGTCTTTTAGTTTCTTCTCGTTAAGATTCTCCAAGTCTACAAGCATCTCAAAGTTTGTTACTTTTCCCATTTGTGAGTGATCTTTTATCAAGCAAACGATGTCGCCATGAACGTATCTTCTTTCAAACAACAAGAAATCATCGATTTTTCCAATGGTTTCTTGAAGATTTGAGAGGATACAGCTTGCTTGTCCACTGTACATGAACTCATCGTCTTCTTGATCATCAGAGCTACTGCTTTCACTGTAGCTATCGAAATCACTTAGAAACACATCCATCACTTCAATCCTTGAAAAAGAAAAAGTAACCATTTTTAAGAATTAAACAAAATTAAAACAAAAAAGTTGATAGAATCAAGAAACATAAGGTACCTTGTGATACAGAAAGTGATAGGATCTCCAAAGAAACCGGAGATAATTTGCCAAAGGAGATTTGCCTCGATAGATGGGGTCTGGAAGAGACACCCGATATGCCAAAAGGAGATTTGCCCCAAATAAATTGGATCAAAGTTTTCACCAGAAGTGAATTCTGGAATTGCCAAAGGAGATTTGCCCGAAGGATCTATTTAATTTAGTTATATATATATATATATATATATATATAAATGGCTCCGAAAGGAACTAAAGAAGCCAGATATGTAAATTGCCAAAAGGAGATTTGCCTGCGAGTGGAGAGTTTGTTTACGAAGAAGATGAATCAACCGAAAAAAGATAATACAGAAAAAGAAGCAAACGAGGCACCATATACTAAGAAAGTTAATTATAAGCTTATGCGATGGAGATTTGGCTATTTTGAGAAGATGATCTATTTATTCCCTGAAAGGAGAAAGGTTCTCCACTGCGGGTTTAAACTTTAAAGCAGCCATGATCCGTTAGCTTACGCACCTGTTGAAATTTAACCGAAAATTAGCAGGAATTCAAACAAGTTTTTGTTAATGAGAGAGTTTTGTAAAAAAAAGTATTTTTTGTAAAGTATTTCTTCGTCATAACTTTGGAGATGATTATGAAGATGAAGTAATTGGTGGCAGATGAATGGTGGGTTTCGTTTATGTGTTTGTGTCTTTGACAATTTTGGAGAGTCCAATTTATCAAACAACACAAACAGTAAAAAAAAAAAAAAGAATCGGTTTCCTAGGCACAATCATGATCTTATGAAGAAACCATTAGAAAACAAGAAGCAAAATTGAAGAAAAGAAATGTACCGTTTGCAGCTAAGAAACATCACGAGGCTTCCTTCATTCATGTGAAGTTCAATTGCAGAAGACACACACAGTTGCCTCTTTAACACACACACACACACACTCTCTCTCTCTCTCTCTCACACACACACATACAGATTTCAAAGAAAAAGGAGGCCTTTTAGCTTTTGCTTTTGTGGGGATTTCAGAGAGGAAAGTTCCTCCCTAAATCCCCTCTGTCACGCCATGATCAAGCATATCAAAAGCTTGAAGAAACCATTTCCCCTCCTTCTTCTTTTTCTTCTTCTTTTCTTCTTCTTCTTCTTCTATCTTCTTGTGGTTGTCTGTGTAGATAGTAAAATATGAAATCTTGAAATTGTTTGTTTGTTTGTTGAAGAAAATGATGTAAGTGAGATTTTGAGTGGGACGGGGTGGGAGGGGTATTAAAATATAAAGCCAAGCGATTATCCGATTGTGAGAAAAGAATATACCCTTCTTGTTCCTTCTACTTCTTTTCCCAACTGCATCTTTCTTTTCTTTCACTTCGCTTTTGGATGTATCCGGTCTTTCACCTGTTTATGCGTTCAATTTGTTTTTTTTTATTATTATTATAAGTTAGGTCATAAAAACCTCAATTTCTCATCCCGTCATACTTATAAAACCAAATTAAAAAATCAACTTTTTAGCGGCAGCATCTCATTCGTTATAGGATGGTAATTAAATGACAACTAGGGTTTGGACCGTCCGCGCGTTGCTGCGAAAGCTCCGGTATTTTAAAAAACGCAGTTTGACACCATATATATCATAGAGACGATTAAATCATATAAAGTGGAGCACAAAAATATCAAAATAAAATATAGATACAAACAATTGACTTGAAAGTGTATCTTTAAGAAATTAATAAAAAAAGAATTATTAAAAAATTATATAAGAGGCGAAAATAGAACTTTAAAATATAATAAGGGACCAAATTATAATGTATAAAATACTAATAATTTAACTTTAAATTTATAAGGGTTGAAAATTGTTAAATAAAAATTAATTAAGGGGAAAAAATATAAATATATATAAAATTTAAACTTATAAGGATACAAATTGTTACATCAAAATTAGTTTAGGGATACAAAATATAAAAACAAATAAAAGTAAATGAAGGAAAATGAAAAAAGAATTGAAAGTAGGAAGACTTATTTTATTTTTGCTTACATGTGAATAGTAAACCTCCTCATAAACCAATTTTGATAATTAATATATATATATATAATATAATTAGTAAAAATATAAATATAGTAAGGAACGTAAGTAGTAACTTATTAAATACTAGTAGTTTTATTTTATAATTACAAAGGATGAAAAGTGTTCAATTAAAATTACTTCACGGAAAGAAAGGTAAATATAAAGATTTGCTATTGTTAGAAACAAAATCTTTATTTTCAAAATAAGACTTATTTTAGAACTTGTACCGTATTATTTCTATATAATAACTTAATCTGAATATAGTTATTTGTGTTTTGGAAATAGTCAAAACCAAATGAATAGTGATACCCCTCACAAACCAATTTTGGTAATTAATATATACTAGGGTTTGGACCGTCCGCGCGTTGCTGCGGAAGCTCCGGTATTTTAAAAAACGCAGTTTGACACCATATATATCATAGAGACGATTAAATCATATAAAGTGGAGCACAAAAATATCAAAATAAAATATAGATACAAACATTTGACTTGAAAGTGTATCTTTAAGAAATTAATAAAAAAAGAATTATTAAAAAGTTATATAAGAGGCGAAAATATAACTTTAAAATATAATAAGGGACCAAATTGTAATGTATAAAATACTAATAATTTAACTTTAAATTTATAAGGGTTGAAAATTGTTAAATAAAAATTAGTTAAGGGGAAAAAATATAAATATATATAAAATTTAAAATTATAAGGATAGAAATTGTTACATCAAAATTAGTTTAGAGATACAAAATATAAAAACAAATAAAAGTAAATGAAGGAAAATGAAAAAAGAATTGAAAGTAGGAAGACTTACTTTATTTTTGCTTACGTGTGAATAGTAAACCTCCTTATAAACCAATTTTGGTAATTAATATATATATAATATAATTAGTAAAAATATAAATATAGTAAGGAACGTAAGTAGTAACTTATTAAATACTAATAGTTTTATTTTATAACTACAAAGAATGAAAAATGTTCAATTAAAATTACTTCACGGAAAGAAAGGTAAATATAAAGATTTGCTATTGTTAGAAACAAAATCTTTATTTTCAAAATAAGACTTATTTTAGAACTTGTACCGTATTATTTCTATATAATAACTTAATCTGAATATAGTTATTTGTGTTTTGGAAATAGTCAAAACCAAATGAATAGTGATACCCCTCACAAACTAATTTTGGTAATTAATATATACTAGGGTTTGGACCGTCCGCGCGTTGCTGCGGAAGCTCCGGTATTTTAAAAAACGCAGTTTGACACCATATATATCATAGAGACGATTAAATCATATAAAGTGGAGCACAAAAATATCAAAATAAAATATAGATACAAACATTTGACTTGAAAGTGTATCTTTAAGAAATTAATAAAAAAAGAATTATTAAAAAATTATATAAGAGGCGAAAATATAACTTTAAAATATAATAAGGGACCAAATTGTAATGTATAAAATACTAATAATTTAACTTTAAATTTATAAGGGTTGAAAATTGTTAAATAAAAATTAATTAAGGGGAAAAAATATAAATATATATAAAATTTAAAATTATAAGGATAGAAATTGTTACATCAAAATTAGTTTAGAGATACAAAATATAAAAACAAATAAAAGTAAATGAAGGAAAATGAAAAAAGAATTGAAAGTAGGAAGACTTACTTTATTTTTGCTTACGTGTGAATAGTAAACCTCCTCATAAACCAATTTTGGTAATTAATATATATATAATATAATTAGTAAAAATATAAATATAGTAAGGAACGTAAGTAGTAACTTATTAAATACTAATAGTTTTATTTTATAACTACAAAGGATGAAAAGTGTTCAATTAAAATTACTTCACGGAAAGAAAGGTAAATATAAAGATTTGCTATTGTTAGAAACAAAATCTTTATTTTCAAAATAAGACTTATTTTAGAACTTGTACCGTATTATTTCTATATAATAACTTAATCTGAATATAGTTATTTGTGTTTTGGAAATAGTCAAAACCAAATGAATAGTGATACCCCTCACAAACCAATTTTGGTAATTAATATATACTAGGGTTTGGACCGTCCGCGCGTTGCTGCGGAAGCTCCGGTATTTTAAAAAACGCAGTTTGACATCATATATATCATAGAGACGATTAAATCATATAAAGTGGAACACAAAAATATCAAAATAAAATATGGATACAAACAATTGACTTGAAAGTGTATCTTTAAGAAATTAATAAAAAAAGAATTATTAAAAAATTATATAAAGGGCCAAAATATAATTTTAAAATATAATAAGGGACCAAATTGTAATGTATAAAATACTAATAATTTAACTTTAAATTTATAAGGATTGAAAATTCTTAAATAAAAATTAATTAAGGGGAAAAAATTTAAATATATATAAAATTTAAAATTATAAGGATAGAAATTGTTACATCAAAATTAGTTTAGGGATACAAAATATATAAACAAATAAAAGTAAAAGAAGGAAAATGAAAAAAGAATTGAAAGTAGGAAGACTTACTTTATTTTTGCTTACGTGGAATGAATAGTAAACCTCCTCATAAACCAATTTTGGTAATTAATATATATATATATAATACATCAAAATTAGTTTAGGGATACAAAATATAAAAACAAATAAAAGTAAAGGAAGGAAAATAAAAAAAGAATTTAAAGTAGGAAGACTTACTTTATTTTTGCTTAGGTGGAATGAATAGTAAACCTCATCACAAACCAATTTTGGTAATTATATATATATATATATATATATATATATATATATATATATAAAAATTAGTTTAGAGATACAAAATATAAAAACAAATAAAAGTAAATGAAGGAAAATGAAAAAAGAGTTGAAAGTAGGAAGACTTACTTTATTTTTGCTTACGTGGAATGAATAGTAAACCTCCTCAAAAAACAATTTTGGTAATTAATATATATATATATATATATATATATATATATATATATATATATATATATATATCTATATAATACATCAAATTAGTTTAGGGATACAAAATATAAAAACAAATAAAAGTAAAGGAAGGAAAATGAAAAAGGAATTGAAAGTATGAAGACTTACTTTATTTTTGCTTACCTGGAATGAATAGTAAACCTCCTCACAAACCAATTTTGGTAATTAATATTATTATATATATATATATATATATATATATATATATATAATCTATATATATATAATATAACAAAAGTAAGAAAATAAAGTTTCGATCCGAAAAATTATTTATGGAGAAGACGGACAAAAATAATAGTAAAAAATATATCTTAAGGTAATTAATAAAAAAGAAGACAAAAAATAATGTAAGTGACTAAAACCATAACTTTAGTAAAAATATAAATATAGTAAGGAACCTAAGTAGTAACTTATTAAATACTAATAGTTTTATTTTATAATTACCAAGGATGAAAAGTGTTCAATTAAAATTACTTCAGGGAAAGAAAGGTAAATATAAAGATTTGCTATTGTTAGAAACAAAATGTGTATTTTCAAAAGAAGACTTATTTTAGAACTTGTACCGTATTATTTATATAATAAGTTAATCTGAATATAGTTATTTATGCTTTGGAAATAGTCAAAACCAAATGAATAGTAATACCCCTCACAAACCAATTTTGGTAATTAATATATATATATATATATATATATATATATATATATATATATATATATATATATATATATAATTGTTGGCAAATTTTATATTTATTTTGATTATATATTTATTAAACATCAAAATATTATATTTGTGTAACTTAATTTCTAAAGATCATATTTACTTTTCATAAAATTTTCAAAATATCATATTTATCCAAATCGTTTTTCCAATATATTTAATAGTTTATAATCATTTTTTATGTCTTTAAATAATTATAATAACTAAAAAATTGACCATATAGTCCCACGCCTAAATTGGCGATCGTTTACTTTTAAATTGTTGAATTTTTGTCATCTTGACAAACACAACATATCCAGTGCCGTTCCAAACCTATTTGAAGTCTCAGGTAAAATAAAAAAAGAAAAAACATCATAAATGGTCCCTGTGGTTTCCCAAAATCTGAAGTTTAGTCCCCGTGGTTTAAAAACCTCATAGATGGTCCCTGTGCTTACAAAACTTTTGACAGATGGTCCTTATTACTAACTCCGTTAAGTTTGTCCGTTAACTAAAGGGCATTTTCGTCTTTTCATGATCACAGGGACCATGTCTCCATCCATAATTGATCGGGACATGGAAGAGGCAAACGGAGCAGCAGGGGAGAATGGGCCAAATCCCGGCGAGCCTCCAAGGTTTCTCTCACGCCGTCGATGGTCACAATCCACAGGAAGAAAGAGCGGTTCAAAGATAGATCTAAGAAAAGAGCAAGCTCGGAAGCAGGAAGCCAACGACAATGGCTTGATGAGGGTTATACGGTCGTGAGGAGGGGGAATCGACTTCTCTGGTGAGCTCCTCTTGATCCCTTTTGCTTCTTCGCCGGTAACGAGCCGACAGGAGAGCAATAATAACATCAGTCAATTTTTAGGGTGGGTTGGGTGGTTCCGATCGGGGAAACGGTTGGGGTCGTGAAGGTGATAGCAGTCGGTACCTCCGAGTGTTCTTCTTGGGTTCTTTCTCACATACTTCTTGCAACAAAACAGTAAGGAGGAGGGTGGCTGCAAACGCCGATCAACGGGGTGTTTGGGATTGTGCTTCTTCGATTGGAGGAGGAATGGTCTCAGTGGGGTTTAGCAGATCGCGACTTCAGGGGTGTTGCTCCGATCAGTAATTGGTTCTCTTCCCTTTTCTTTTCGTTTGACTGTTTGATAGGAATCATTGGGGTGTTTGGGTTTGCTTGGGTTGTTTCTTGAGTTCACATGTGAAAATAGAAGAGATAATGGAAGGGTTGCTGCTCCTGAGCTCACCAGGAACCCATAAGAAAACCACCTCCAATAGAGGTGTTCTTGGTTGTGCATCGAAACAGAAAGAAATAAGAGAAGGAGAAAGGTTGTCATGGCCTATGGGATGGAAGAAGAAGGACCAGCATCAATGGTATTCAGGGGGCTGTTTATTTGCTTTGATTGATAGGAAGAGAAGAAGGAAAACATGGTTGATGTCCCTCTTGTTTTTACCGAAAAGAGCTCCTCCTATGGAGGACTTTGACAGTTAATGTGTGAGAGAGAGAGAGAGAGAGACCCTTGCATATTATTTCATTTTTGAGAAAACATCATAAATGGTCCCTGTGGTAGTGAAATGACGAAAATGCCCTTCAGTTAACAGATAAAATTTAACGGAGTTAGGGATAAGGACCATCTGTCAAAGTTTTGTAAGCACAGGGACCATCTATGAGGTTTTTAAACCACGGGGACTAAACTTCAGATTTTGGGAAACCACAGGGACCATTTATGATGTTTTTTCATAAAAAAACGAGGCCTTTAAACCATCTCCAACAATACACAATTTTTTACACCAAAAAGAATATTTCATGCTATATTCTTTTTTTGAACTTATATAAATTTCTCAAACACACTCTTCAACTAATTAGTTCTTAACATATTAATGTTCATTTTTTTTATAGAAACTTTATAAAATATATTTATTTCAATATTATAATCAAATTAATTATTTGTATATTGTTAATTCGAAATAAATGTTATTTTATTAAAATGACATTTGTTAATTTTAAAATTTATATAAATTTAAAACATTAAAATTAAGTTTTATATTAATGGCTAATTAATATCAATTTAATATGTAACATAGATTTATATTAACTTTTATACTTAAAATTGATTATTAACAAGCTAATATATGATTAAAACTAAATAAAGATCAAAGAAAAATGACTAAAAGTGACATGAAATTTTTGCACCATTTTTTTTAAATGAATAACATAACATCAAATTTTTTGTTATGTTATATCTTTCAAAATAGTGTGGGAAATAGAGTGGGGTTAGAGATGTCTTCACACCAAAATAGTGTAAAATTTGAGATTTTATGTAGGCTTGAGATGCCCTTACAATATATCAATATATATATATATATATATATATATATATATATATATATATATATATATATAGAGAGAGAGAGAGAGAGAGAGAGAGACATATAAGATCGGGTGAGAACTCTTTTTAAAGTGAGGACTCGTGAGGACACCTAAATTGAAAAAAAATCTAATAAAAACACAAATCATAAAATCGAGCATCGTACTATATCAGAGAGAAAAAATAATTTGAAATTTTTTTTTGGATCATTAAAATTGAAGCATTGATCATTTTTATGATCCATGATTCAATTTTAATTATGCAAAAAAAAATTCCATTTTTTTTTCTCCCGGATATAATACTATGCTCGATTTTATGATTTGTATTTTTTTAGATTTTTTTTCAATTTTTTAAGGTGTCTCCACGAGTCCTCACCGAAAAAAGAATCATCACTGGAACCGGACCCCACATATATATATATATATATTAGAATCATCACTGGAACCGGACCCCACATATATATATATATATATATATATATATATATATATATAAAAGAGGTTGATTTTTTTGTTTTTTAAATGGACTTTTGTTATAAATTTCTCTTTATAACGATTTTTTTAATCTTTTTCTAGGCTCCAACAACAAAGATGTCAATATTTTTTATGTTGAAGTTATAAGTTATCTACAAAAAATTAGAAAGAAAACATATAAAATAATTTTTTATCAAAAAACTAACATGAAATAAGTGGAAACAATAACGAATATTACAAATTACATTAATCAGAAATCAGACTAAGTCGAATAAAAAATCAAAAATTAAAATGGTGAGGCTCTCTAAATCCGATTAACACGAATAGAATATCAAATTTTTTAAAGGAGGCATGAAATCAGATTACCAGAATAGATGTATTAAGAAAGATTAAAATCAGAAACTGAAATTAAAATTAGAAAGTTGCATAAAAAATACAAAATTGATTTATTATGAATCGATTTTTTTTGTGAACATTGAAAAAATCTGAATTGATTCATAGAGTCCCTCAATCGATGCTGGTGAGGGGCTCAACACAATGATTATTCCGGAAGAATCAAATCTTATTCTTTACTGTTGATTTTGTTTTAGCTTCATTTTCTTTCATTTTTCCGTTCAACCGCTTTACATGATATATCGGGTTTATATATATATATATATATATATATATATATATATATATATAATATATATATATATATATATATATATATATACACACACACACACACTAACATACTAACATATATAAAAATAGGAGCCCAGAAATTTGGAGGCCTTGGCCATAGCCCATGCTGCCCCACCTATTGGCACGGCCCTGAACACATCGTCTATGTTGTGATATGTGCTTGGGACTTAACATCGTCACTTGTTGATTTCGGCTATGAATAGTCCCGTAATCACAAAAATGAAGAGATAACGTCAGGCGATGTCCGGGAGGTGGTCCTGAGACGAAGCTCTGACGGTCTAGTTAGTATGTGTATGAGAATAAGGTGATTAGGGTTTTGGATTGTGAGAAGGCGATCCCTTCTTCTAGAGAAAAAGGGTTCCTTTTATACCTGTTGTTCTTTGCACAAGATCCCAATAGTATCATTTGTCCCATCTGGGCCGACAGGACGTGGAGGAGTCTCATTGGTGGATCGTGCACAACTAGTGGTCGTCTGTTATTGGTGCAAAATAAATAGAGGACTACGTCCTAAGCGCTACACTTGTCGCTCTGGGAAACGACTAACTGTATTTTAGCTTATTATGGACTGGAGATTGTCGTCAGGAATTGCACCTGGGTACGAGGGTGCCAAGCCTCAGGGTCCTAACGCGAGGGCGAGGGCCCGGGTCTGACGCTAGGACGAGTTGCGACCGTTAACTAGGTAGTCCTAAAGATAGTGGTCCTGTTATCTTTGACGTATTCCTAGAGGGATACGTTAACAAGTCCCCTAAAGTAGTAGACGTCATCATTGGCATAGCGTAACTAAGTTGTTCTAGCCTTGATCAAGACATGCGTTCGGTGAAGATGGACATGACGTCCGTTGATGTGACGGAGCCGTCAGCGTAGGCAGTTTATCATGGTAATTGTTTGATATTCCCGCTTCGCATTTAAACTTCTCTTACAAGGACGAATTTCCTTTTTACCCTTCCCATTCTTCAATTGTTTATGTCTTCTCTTTGCTTATCCTCTCTTCTTTCTTGTTCTTGTTCTGTGAGAGAATAATTACACCATTATCCAGAACCGGTCCAACCCCAAGTGAGTTTGAGGCTCTTCAGACCTGGTTCGGCTTCATGCCTGAACATGGGGTGCAATATCCCAGGAAAGGGGCGATCATTTCTCGACCACTAGAGGACAAGGTCGGAGTCCCCATTCCGATCTTTTAGATAGGTCTGAGGCTGCCGACGATTGACTTTTTTGATGAGATCATGTGTCAATATAGCTTCTCCGTAGATGATATGACTCCCAACGCTGTCAACAAGATTGTAGGCTTTGAACTGGGTTGTCGAACCCTTGGAGTGCTTCCCCAGTTCCGGGCCTTCAAAGCCTACTTTAACTCTTCCACCCAATCTGACGTCCATACCTTTTCTCAGAGGCGAGGCATTCATGCATTCATTGTCAACCAGAAAGCGCCCAAGAAGAATTGGCAAGACAAGTGGCTTTGGGTGAATCGCAAACTGGTTGGTTATGGATACCCCCGGGTGACCGTCTTTTCTGATCGGTCGCCACCGTTGTGGGGTACTAACCTGACTGTGGCACAGGCGTTGAGGAGTATCTGCTTCAACATGGAAGATTAAGTGGATTACATCCTAGCCGCGACAGGGATGAGTGTTGCATGGAGGGCTCGGGGGATGATGCCCCAGTTCTTCGTGGAGAATGACAGTAAGTACTCTTTTCCTCCCCACAGCCCCAAAAAAAACTTGAGGACAGGTTTACTCACTCTGTTTGTTCTTTGTCTTTCTAGGTGTCGAGAGGATCTTGTCCTATGAAACGGTTTTTCGTGGCAAGTATAAGGGCAATCTCCAGTACCGTTAGGTACCTCTGGTGGAGACCCTTCCGCCACCCGTTAGCATTGATCGAGCCCTGGCGCTTGGTGCACCCCTGTTGTTAGGGACGAAGGGTATGCACCCCAGGCTAATCCGACTTTGGTGGATGCACTCGTTGATGGTGTTTCTCGCGATGACCCTCCACCTCAGAACTCTGAAGATGAGCTAGGGAAGGAGGTGGCGGTTGGTGGCGGCTGGGCTACTACCAAGCGACAAATAGCTTGGTTGGACTCCCCACTTGTTCATTGGCAAACGTCTTCACAAGAGACGTAATGTGGACCTCTTACTCGGGGAGTCCGACGTTTTGATCACTATCCCCGATGATGATGCTTCACACCTGTCGGAGGGGATGGACACTGAGGCAACAGAACTGCCTCATGAACCAAAGGATGTCACCGATCTTGATGGTGGCGAATCTGAGAAAGAGCCAGAGGTTACACTCCCAACCTCTTCTGGATTTACTTCGTCTCCATTGAGAGACAATGCTGATGCAGGTGCTCCCCCTTCACCTCCGGTGGCCTACGACGTCTTTCTCCCGGAGTGGAGTCTCACTCGTGAGTCTCTACTAATGCATCATTCGATTGTGTATGAGTGGAGTGGCCACGCGTTCCCTCCGGCCACCATATAAGCATTCGAGCTCCTCTCTAACTCCCATATGGCTAACGGCTTGCAGTATGCGGCGACCCATGTTGCCCCTTATTTGGTGGCGGCGGTCGGGCGTCTGCATCATGTTAGCTCGGA